TCTTTGATCAAAAGATGCATATTTATTTTTCCCTTACAAGAAACGAGTTTGTTATTGCTTTCAAAAAGCAAATGTACTAAAAGCTTTCTAAATAAAAGCAGGATCGATCCACTTAGTGCGTGAAGATGTTTTATTAATTTTGCTGTCAGAGTCGCTTCCTCTGCCCAGATGTACATCGAGCAGGTGGTCAATTCGGAGCTTTGAGAACCAATTAATATTAGGACCTTTTAGCAAGCAGCTTTACGTCGTCATTGGATATATAGGCATAGGTAAATTTAATGTCATTCTTACAATTCGCTTTACAAGTGTTCATGTCTCGCTTCACTTACCTTCTCCCAGACGAGCGCCAGGTGCTTTTGCACGAAGGCTCGGGCAAGCATGTTATATCTGCGTACTTGTAAAATGTGCTTGATAATCGTGATGGTTGTTTCCTTTGTACGACGACGAAGTCACAATAAGTTAAAAATGTTGGCGTAAAGAAGGACGAATGCTTTTTGAACCACACACACACATCACAAAGAGTGAATTGGTCTTTAACAGGAATTAGCATGTATCTATCGATCCAATCCATCTTAAAGTGTCCGGCTGCGTAGGTGAATGGTCTTGCTTTCATGCTCGAGCCGGAGCGACTAGAGCTGATCAAGGAAGTGGCTGGCACAAAAGTGTACGAGGACCGGCGCGTTAAGTCTCTCAAGATTTTACAGGAGAAGCAGGAGAAGCGAGAAAACATCCAAGCGATCATATCTTATATTGATGAAAGACTGTTGGAGTTGGACAGGGAAAAGGAGGAGCTTATAATGTACTGGCACTCGAAAAATGTGCAGCGTGCTCTTGATTATACGATGCACGAAAAGGAACTGCAGGAAGTACGAGCTGAGATCGAGGTGATTGACTAGGATAGACAGAAAGATAGTGCGTTGTCGACGGAGCTGCATGACCTCGCTCACTGTCGAGATGAGATCAATCGAATTAAAAGTGATTATAGCACGAAACAGCAATATCTCGAGCATCTTGTGGACGAACGGGAGAGAAGAGGGAACGACTGTATTGGACTTATGCAATCTAAACACAAGCTGGAGAAGGAGGCCCCAAAGACCAAGTTAGCACTGACAGCGTGCAGCGATGCGCTGCGTCTAAGAAAGTCAAACTCTTAAACGTGAGAGTCAAGCAAACCAGCGCTACCCGATATTGAAATGTACCCGCACTGCGACAAGCAGAGCTATCGCAAGACCAAGTAGTACAAATACTTGAGAAGTGCAGACTACAGTCCGAGCATTTGACTGCCAAGCAGAGTCACAAGAGTCAGTTTCGTACTCAGCAACAGCGTGAATCAGTGATATTGAGGGCTTGATGTGCAGAAAAAAGTCCGATACAGCGTCGTTACGAAGATCCATTAGGGATATGGTGCTGTCTATCGAATAATCTGAAAGGGCGCTTCGGCAACAGACAGAAGAGCTACGTGAGCATCGCGATCGAGCATACACTGCCGGGGCAGAAATTCTCCGTCTGAAGGAGCAACGCAATATTATAAATAAAGAGCGCAAGGGAAAGTGGCGCGAGGATACCAGATGTCGTATTGTGAACGCGCGCTCGAGAAGAAGCTGAGCGATAAAGAAGCTGCTTTGCAGAGTTTAATGGCGTATGGCGCTCGCCGTAGTCTACAGGCAGTACGGGAGCTGCAAGATCGTGTTCGAGGGAATTATGAATCTTTGATCGACCTCTTGAAGCCTGTCGAAGAGCGTTATTGCATCGCTGTGGATGAGGATTCTGGCGGCGCACTTTTTCACGTCGTTATAGATACAGACGACACCGCCGCTCGAATCATGAAAGAGTTGGACGATTAGAATTTGAAATGGATTACTTTCCTACCCCTTCAACGATTAAAAGTAAAGGATCATTAAGCACATCCTTGTCATGATGACGTTGTCACACTCGTCGAGAAGCTGGAATACCCGGCAGAGATTCGTAGAGTTATTATGGCGGTTTTTGGTAAGACGTTGCTCTGCCAAGACTTAGTAGCGTGCGGTCGCTGTGCAGTAAAGGCAAACATGGACTGCGTGAACTTAAACGGTGATGTAATTCATCGCCGTGGTGGCTTGAACGATGGCATTGAAGGTCCTCGACAAGATTTTGCACAATGGTGATGAACGCGAGGCAGGCATAAGTGGAGCTTGATAGCGCGGCGGATGAAGCTTGAAGGGTAAAAGCAGAGGCCCAGCAAGCAGATCAAGAGTCATTGGTGTGATTGCAGAGATTCAAGAGTTGGGGGCAGAAAAGCATCGTGGCGTGTCGGTTTACAAGCATTTGTGCTGCGAGAGATCTCAGTGTAAGAGCCATACTTACACTTAAAAGAAAACCTTGTGCAGATAGAGCGGAGTAGCGAGCTGCAGAAAAGGGATAAAAAATCTTGATTCAGTTATCAAGTCGCTAGCACAAAGCTTCTTGCCCCGGTGCAAGACGCCTTGACAACTGACAAGCAGCAGTTCCTGCATAAGTATGGGCCCAAGGTCTCATGTTAAATATAGAGGAGCGTGATCAAAGACAGCGAGTGGAAGATGCGTGGTCTTAGAAAGAAGGCGTATATCATGATTTGAAAGAAAACATGATGAGGCGTCATAAGGAGTTGGTAAAAATAGTCGGTAAGGGAATTGAAGAGCTTGCAATACGTGAGCGAAAACAAACAATGAAAGCCAAGCAGACATTATACACGCTTCTCGTGTAGTAGATGAGAACACATTATCGCTGTTCGAACTCGAGAAAAGATCGGAACGTTGCAGCAAAGATTTGCGCGGGAATCATTGCTGGTGAGTGCCCTCTACAGAAAGGAGGTCTTACTAAGTGACCGTGTCCAGCACGAGATTTAGCGAATCGATAAGATCTTAAATAGGCGCCGACACTGCTTAAAAAGTGTGATGATAGGACTCAAAAAATCCAGGAGCTACGAACGTTGGCGATGTGAGAGCTCGAAAATTTTATGGAGCTGTCAAGTGAGGACATGGTATAACAGTTCGAGCTCCGAACCAAGATTCTGAAGAAGTACAGCCACGTCAACAAGAAAGCGCTGGATCAGTCTACGAGCTTTCACGAGCATCGTGCGACGCTTTTGAAGAGAAGGAATGACATTGACAACCTGTATGATTCGATTAAGGAAACGATCGATGTCCTCGACACGAGAATAGGTGAAGCCATAGTTTGAAATTTTAGAAGAGCGGCAGGCTTTTTGTGGAATTGTTCATGAGCTAATGGTAACGAACAACAGCAAGATGATATTTGTTGTGGAGGATACTATCCTGTCTGACCACGTTGACGATGGCGATGGAAAATGGGAATTGGACGTTGACACGTACTGTGGCATGTAGTATAAAGTAAAAGTTGCGGCAAGGAGGACTCTTACTTCATGTAGCAACTTTCTGGTGGACCAAAGGTTTTAGTGGCTCTTGAATTCTTCCCCCAATATAGCGGGTCGACACGGCTTTGTTCTACTTGTTTAGTGAGATCGATCAGGAATCAGACTTTGCTCACCGATCTACAAGTTCGGATTTTTCCACCGCCAAGCACTTTCGGAGGACAGGTTGGCTCAGGTGCAGCATCATATATTATTTGCAATCTTAAAAGACACCCATCTGAGCTGATTATCGTGTCGGCTGTAATTAGCTCATCACTTCGACATTTTGTCCCGAGCTGGTGAATGTCTCTGATTCATTCTATGGTACTGGCTACTTAATATAATGAGCAACGGTTGCTCGATGGCTATGGATGAATCTATCGATTTTATCTCAAAAAAATATAATTGAGGAAGAGGGCGTGGCGAGGCATCAAGCGGAAACTTAGACGTCTGCTGTACACGTTCGTAGTACTATCTAAATAACTAGACTAAATTATTAAGAGGCAACGAAAATAGCAAATTTAACACGAATGTGTATACTTCATCATTGCAATCGTCAATTTTCGAGCGGACTAGCTTGCCAGACTTGCGAAGGCTTAGAGCAGCAGGCTAATCTATATGTTTTAACCCAAGGCTGCGCTTCCGACTCTCGATCTGCTTTTGTAACAGACCAAACGTTGCATGCACTAACAAATGATGCAATAAGCCAATGTTTTTTTGATCTGTTGCTTGCGCTCGCAGTATTTACATTATGAATAAAAGAGTCTCGTTGAAACGCCTAGCTTTCGACCATTGCCACTCGTCAAAGCGAAACGAAACGGTCATCGTTGTAGTCAAGTCTTTTAGCAGCACATCAAAACGAACTTCATTCAGCGTAGCTTGTCGTATAACTTTAAGCTATTAATATTTTGTAGTGCTCCTAATCAAACTCAATATCCCTAACAAACTAATTTTATCATCTAGGAAGTCGTAATGAAGCTGTAGGCAAGCTTAAAAACTTCCATTACCTGACAGATACCTGAAAGTGCCGCAGTTTCGTCTGACATTAGGTAATCACGTAAGTATGCTTGTAGCATCCAGAACTTACAAAAAAGCGGTGGCGTCCAGGCCATATTACTTACTAAGCGCACGAGCAGTTTATTATCGTACTTTATCTCCACTTAGTTTGAAAGCGGAAGCAGCAGCAGCACCGGTCTTCGCTAAACATCTTCACGCCATTGTCCGGCAGAATTATGAGCGCGTGGAAAAGCGTTGCGATCGGGGAGGTGAAGAGATGGGGCTAAGTAGATAACTTTAACTTTCCCCACCTTAAACGCGATCGGCGTCGTGGTACTCTACACCGCGTTACCAATTGTAAACGCTGCGTCTGCATAGAGACCACGGCAGCAAGCGACAAACTCAGATGAAACAATTTGCCTTTGAAGCATCCCTTAGTAACGCGTGGCACAATGCCGAAAGCGTCGGCAAAGTCGTACCACACGACATGCATTCCTTAGTGCTTGCGCCGGGCTTGATCGACGAGCATATCTGCGACGAAGTTGTGCTCGCAAGCAGTTTGGCCCACCCGTTCTTTAAAGAAGGGTGACGAACTTTCTGGGAACAGTCATAAATTAGACTACCCTGCCTCTTCGCCAGTGACCAGCTGCGTGTCACTTGGGAGAGGGGGCATTTCGCCTGATTCCACGCCAGACTCGTCATCAGCCAGCGCGTTACTTAAAGACGCATCGCTGGCGAGACTGGAATGGCTGTCCGTGGAGCACATGCATTCGCTGGATAGAAAGCGCTTTCGAGGCTGCCAATCCGGCCACCAGAAGCGCATCTGAATGCGTCGGTGTAGAGCCGGTGCAGAGGACAGAAAGGCGAAAAGTAGATTGCTTTAAAGAACGAAAGTAGAAAAGAATGAGTTCATTGATTACGTATCGCTAGCCTCGCGAGGATTATGTGCAAGTCCCGGGGACCGCCTTATCTCACGCGAGTATGACAAGATATCCAAAAATGGATGTGAAAAAGACCGACAAAAGTCGGAAACCAGTTCTCACACTGATTAGAACAGATACTACACTTGATCTTAGCTAAAAAGCCGAGAAGGTATGGCTTGAAAGCAATAGAGAGGACAGAATGCAACACTGTCGACACAATAGCGAATGTTGACAATAGGAATTTGAATGTTACATTAAGTCCGAAATGTAAAGGTGATATTCCAAACAATGAAATAGAGCAACAAAAACTTGGAATCTAACGTCAGTTTTTGGTGCTGCACACGTGTGTGTTGATAGTGTGTGTACTTTGGGAATGATGTAAAGTAATCATGACAATACAATATACAAAAGCTATTGAAAAGGTAAATGTAAGATGGCTTCACTGGAGTAAGGTGTAAGCCCCAGAGACCACCCCGTCTTAGTAGCCAAGCTTTTACAGGATGTCAAAAATGAATGTGAAAAGACGACAGAAGTCGGAAACTAGTTCTCACACTGATTTGAGCAGATACTACACTTGATCTTAGCTAAAAAGTCGAGAAGGCATGGCTTGAAAGCAATACAGAGGACAGAATGCAACACTGTCGATACAATAGCGAATGTTGACAATAGGAATTTGATTGTTACATTAAGTCCGAAATGTAAAGGTGATATTCCAAACAATGAAATAGAGCAACAAAAACTTGGAATCTAACGTCAGTTTTTGGTGCTGCACACGTGTGTGTTGATAGTGTGTGTACTTTGGGAATGATGTAAAGTAATCATGACAATACAATATACAAAAGCTATTGAAAAAGTAAATGTAAGATGGCTTCACTGGAGTAAGGTGTAAGCCCCGAGACCCCTTGACAAGCTTCTACAGGATGTCCAAAAATGAATGTGAAAAGACAGACAGAAGTCGGAAACTAGTTCTCACACTGATTTGAGCAGATACTACACTTGATCTTAGCTAAAAAGTCGAGAAGGCATGGCTTGAAAGCAATAGAGAGGACAGAATGCAACACTGTCGATACAATAGCGAATGTTGACAATAGGAATTTGAATGTTACATTAAATCCGAAATGTAAAGGTGACATTCCAAACAATGAAATAGAGCAACAAAAACTTGGAATCTAACGTCAGTTTTTGGTGCTGCACACGTGTGTGTTGATAGTGTGTGTACTTTGGGAATGATGTAAAGTAATCATGACAATACAGTATACAAAAGCTATTGAAAAGGTAAATGTAAGATGGCTTCACTGGAGTAAGGTGTAAGCCCCAGAGACCACCCCGTCTTAGTAGCAAGCTTCTTCGACAGGATGTCCAAAAATGAAAGTGAAAAGACCGACAGAAGTCGGAAACTAGTTCTCACACTGATTTGAGCAGATACTACACTTGATCTTAGCTAAAAAGTCGAGAAGGCATGGCTTGAAAGCAATACAGAGGACAGAATGCAACACTGTCGATACAATAGCGAATTTTGACAATAGGAATTTGATTGTTACATTAAATCCGAAATGTAAAGGTGATATTCCAAACAATGAAATAGAGCAACAAAAACTTGGAATCTAACGTCAGTTTTTGGTGCTGCACACGTGTGTGTTGATAGTGTGTGTACTTTGGGAATGATGTAAAGTAATCATGACAATACAGTATACAAAAGCTATTGAAAAGGTAACTGTAAGTTGGCCTCACTGGAGGAAGGTGTAAGCCCCGGAGACTGCTCTGTAACGGGGCACCCTGAAGCTTGTACTGGTAACAGTACAAGCTACTTAATCTGATGATAGAATAAGGCGGTGCCTCGGAACTTCACGTACACTGGTACGTGCAGAGGAAGACGGTAAGAAGAAGCGAGTACTTGGTTAAAGTAAAAAGTAGAACTGTATTTATCATAGTTAATGTCTGTTGAAAAATCACTATTTATCCTCATCTAACTATGTCTAGATACAAATGTGCATATCAACTATCTGCTCACCACTCATTGCGTGCGTCTGTCGTGGCGCGTCTACTTTGGTTGATATAATGGCCTATATCAACCAATTAGGAACTACTCGTAAGTGCTACAGAATATTTGTCCTTATGACAATATTCTGAGAATATAACTCTTATAGTTATATTCTATTAACAATTTCTTATAAATTGTTATGTAACGATTCACCCCGTTACATAACGCCCCCTTAACCATCAGTCACTTTAGTGACTGATTGACTAAATGAATACTCGTCCCAAATCATTTGGGACGGGGTTTGCACTTGTTGGTCCGAGTCCACTTCCCAACATCTCATCGCATGGTTAACAAGCCCATGCGATGCGCGAGCAAGGCCGCCGAGAGCGCGTCTGCACGTCTCTGTGCGGACGCCGAAGCAGAAACAACAGCAACTGATGTCCCATCGGTTGCTGAAGCAACCCAGCCTGTGTCACTTGGTGATGCAGGCGCTGGTCATGAAGACACTCGTGTCTTCACAGAGTATGATCTTGGTGTGTCATACTCTCCTGATACGGATGACGGATCCGTATCGACGGCGATTGAATCTAAGCCGCCTGCCAAGCGTGGCATGGACGATGCTTTGCGTCGCATCATCTTTGGTTCATCTGATTCATCAGATGAACCATCGCCAAAGCGAAGGCGCTCGAGGTCGCGAGACTCGGGCGCTAATAGTGGTGTCGGTTCTCCTATGGACACCACTTCACAGCGAGGTGCCAGTACTTCTGTCGGCACGTCGCAGGAAGAGCGGGACCGCAATGTCTTGCTTCTCGCTCCAGAAAAGAAGGCATGGATGCCTCCTAAATCCGTCATGGATCACTTGTCGTCGCCGACAAGTGATCGTTATCGAACACGATTGTTCGATTCGTCAAGGATTCATCACCTTGACCCCAGCGCGAAAGACTATCGCGCTGAACATGAATTCTTCATCGATGCTTTCTTTAGACATCGATGGTACAGTGGGATTCACAAACGTGATGGTCCCTCACTACTTCAGGCGTGGAACGCCTACATCCATAACCTCGAGGATGTAGGTCGTGACGCTTGGAACGACAAACTTATCAAAGCTCGTGATAAGTTTGAAAAGCGAACCCCGACAGGTGCACGCTACAAGCTGCATCGTCTGTCAAGGGAGAAAGGATTACCCTGCCTCTCTTGGGGAGACTCGTGCCCACGTTGTGTGAACAACTCTGCACGAGCACCTAAGGAGGCTTACCTCCCTAATAGCCCCGTGGTGGCGCGAACGTATCTCTAGTGAGATGTACGAAGGGATTGACAACCAGAAATCCCTTTATGACCGTGCCGGGAAGACTTTCTCCGGCGGTCCTTCTGCGGCACAGGATATGCCGCATCGTACTGCTCAACCAGACCTAGTACGTCAACCTCCAGTTGGGAGCGGGGCTCCCAAGTATCCCAGGACGGGGGATAGCCGCGCCACCGGACGAGATAACTCGTCCGACGTCCGTTCACGTCGCGGTGGCTCATCAGCCGCTCAATCAGATAGCGCTGGCCACCGCGAAAGTCCTCTAATGGAGGTGGAGGAGGAGGGAAGACGCTCTCCACACATTTGTGGGGAAGCGTGTGTTCCCGAGAGCTTCTTTGATCGCGTAACGCAAGGGTTACGCGGCGATGTCGAACATGAGCGGGACAGGCGTCTCCAACTGGCGGACACTGCCTCGAAGCATCGAGCTGAGTTTGCCTTTGCTCAGCTTGAGAACGAGAGATCTCTGACGTCTCTGCGTGACGAGCTAAGGGTAGCTCGTGGGGATGTTGAGCGGTCTCGGGCTGAGATAACTGCTCTTCAGACCCTTGTCGATGCCCACCATCGGGAGCACAAGGCTCTCTGCGAGATGCTTGAGCGCAAGGGCGTTCTTCATCGGAAGAAGCAGCGTACTGATGGTACGGCTTTAGCCGACCAACGTAAGACGTGGGATGCGTTCGCATCTTACGTGGCAACTCGATCGTGTATGCGTTGCCTAGGCGGTGCAATACACGAAATGGGCCGATGTATTTGGGTAGTAGTTTACTGCTACCCAAGTTAGTCACTACATGCTTTGGTAGATTAACCGTAGACAGTAGGACTAAGTCACCTTTATTAAATAAAAGAGTGTTCGCCCTTCCATTCTTGTCAGCGTTTTGCTTTTGCTTATCCACCGCTTCGGCGATGGAGTCTTGCACAAAACGGACTACCGCTTCACGAGCCAGTATGAACTCATCTTGTCAGGCCGATAGGTACGTACGGCCTAGTACAGGAGTAATTACAGCGTAAAAAGTAAAAAAGGATAAGTCTGACGTCATTGGAGGACGTCACAGTCTGACGTCATTAGATGACGTCACTGAAGAAGCTTCTAGAAGCTTCCAGAAGGGTAGGCTTAGAATAGCACAGGGTAGCGAACTAAGGACCTACATTAATTCAGTTTCCAATTTACCTAGTGAACGAGAAGTCATCACATCTGGTAGCACTTGTTGGTCTCGCCGTCTGCCGTCCCCGCCGTCTGCCGGTCCCGCCGTCTGCCGTCCCTGCCGTCCTGCCGTCCCCGCCGTCTCTGCCATCGTAACCGTCGTAACCGTAGTAACCGTCGTAGCCGTAGTAACCGTCGTAGTCGTCGTCGTCGCTCAAGAGCAGTGATCTGAAGAATCCATGGTAAGTCCCAATTTTTTTTTTGGGCAGGGACTCCTTTTCATTGGCTGTAAAACCTACCGGGCCATTATCACTGCTACCGTTATCGAGGTCGTGGTCTTATTGACTATAAATCGACTCGTTTCGGGAATAAGTCAGTTTAGTCAACGGAAGGTTAGTACTTCAGTTCATGACCCGCCACCCGCGCAAGCAACCTACGCCACTCGACATTAACGACTCACTGGCACAGTTTTCCGTGACAAAGCCGGACGCAGCCGACAAGTGCCGTGCGGACCTACTGAAGCAATCCGTCGCACCAGACGCATTCTTGTCCGCTTCGAGAAGCACTTGGACACGGCTCAGCGCTCCGACTCGCGCAAACACATCAAGACTCGGCTTGTGGCGCACGCTAGCGACTTGCTCACTTTGAGAGCACTGTGAGCCTGCACATCTCACGCGAGATTTCCAAGCACACAAGCAAAACCGCCCGAGTCCCGTATTCTGGAACACCAGGGTACAAGGTCGTGCTCGCCCGTCAACAACCGACTGCCAAGTCAACTAAGTCCTGGAAGCCCGGATCAAAGGTTATCAAGAGAAGTACCAAGACCATAGCTCCGCCAAGTACAATTAACTAATCGTTAATATCAGTTAGTTCTGTACCGTTACATAATGTCCACCCCAATGACGTCCGATCAGCATGCACAACTGCTGCAATCGATGGTTGCGACAATGGAGAAACAATCGCTGTTGCTAGAGCAGTTTCAAAGGTCCACACAATTATCGGAAATAAAGCTTGAAGGTGTAAAGCTTCCGACGTATGGTGGCAGATTGGACGAATCGTTCCTTCTCTACAAGGAGCAAGTAGAGCAATACTTCTTTGCAAAAGGAGTGAACTGGAAGTGTCATGAGCTCTCTCTCCGCATACTAGCCATTTTGGGGGGCACACTAAAGCACGGAGCTGCTCAGTGGTATGTCATGCAAAAGCAGTACATCACAATTGTGGACGACTTCTTCTTCAAGATAGAACGGGAGTTCGTTCCAGCTGATCTACAAGAGCGTCTGCGGGAAGAAATGAATGATATGAGAGAGCGCGATTGCAAGGACCTCCCTGACTATGTAGGCAAGTTTCGCCACGTGGTAACTCAAGTCCAAGACATGAGCGAACTGGACAGGATTATGTACTTCCTACGCGGACTTTCTGGTCGTACGCGAGAAGAGGTCCAGTACCGTCGCTGTACAACGTTGTCAGACGCTATTACTGTTGCGTTAGACTTTGACCGTTCTCATCCGACGAGGTATTCCCGGGGCAGGTCACAGGATAAACCTAGGTACCGGTCATACGACAATAATCGTCGATATCAATCCAACACTGGTCCAGAGCCAATGGACGTTAGCACTGTGCAGATTCCTTCTCGGGACGAATGTCGTCGACGAAATTTGTGTTTCAAATGCGGTAGTCCGAATCATCGCTCCGCACAGTGTCATCAGCGCCCCACACGTTCTGTTCGAGAAAACACTAATGCTAGACGGAACTATCAACATCAGGAACATCGTCAGCATGTAAACAATGTGGACAGTCGTGAGGACGACCAGGACACAAGTGTTTACGACCGAGTCACGATCAATGTAGTGGGGGTACAAAAGGATTCTGAGGTACCATTCATTGCCATCCACTCAAGTAGCTCGGGGGCGGACATACCAGCGCAAAGTCGACTACTCGTTCGTGATGGTGTTATTGGTAATAAACCCGTCAAAATTTTGATTGACTCTGGAGCGTCAACGAATCTGATCAAACCCGGTCTGGCGTCCACAGTTCTCAGCGAACAGATGGTACAAGCACGACGTTGTGATGGTACCTGGACATCAAGTCAACCCACAAAGCAGGTGGAAGATACCATTTTAATCGACGGTATGGAGTTCCCTATGATGCAGTTTACAGAATGGGACCTACCGGATACACATGACTTGATATTTGGTCAACCATGGTTTACCATGTACAACCCCCAGATCATCTGGCGTACACAACAAATTGAAGTTGCAGCACACACGACGTTCAAAGACGTGGACGGGCCGACATTTCATGCGAAGATGACTCGCGGAGCCTACGAGGAAATATCTCAATTAAAGGTTACCACCATAGACCATCAGGAGATACCGCACGAGCTACAGCCAGTGCTAGACGAGTACAAGGACGTATTCCCCGACCAACTTCCAGAGGTAATGCCTCCAACGCGATCGGTCAACTTTGAGCTACAACTGAAGCCTGATGCGGTGCCGAGCTCTCGGGCCCCCTTCCGTCTATCGAAAGTGGAGCAGGAGGCGCTCCAACAATTTGTGGAGGAGAATATACGGAAAGGATGGATCGAGGTGTCCAACTCTCCATGGGTTTCAAACATATTTGGGATTCCAAAAAGGATCCTGTAACCGGGCGGTTCCCTAAACGCGCAGAATGGCTCTGCAGCGGAAATTCCAAGATCCCCATTAGATGGGTCATTGACTACCGATATGTTAATAGCACGTCTGTCGCGGCAAAAAAATTCTTTGCCGTTGATCTAGGAACTGTTCGACCGCATGGTGGGATGTAAGTTTTTACGCTTCTTGATCTTGCGCAAGGCTACCATCAAATGGTAGTCTTACCATCAAGTAGACCCTATACGGCTTTTCGCACCCATAAGGAAACGTATCAATGGTGTGTAGCACCCATGGGTTTATCTGGAATGCCTGGTGTCTGGTCGAGGCTTATGCGAACGTTGTTCGACCAATTCGGAACCTTTGTCGTGGTGTATCTTGACGACATATGTATCTTCTCCCGTACAATGGAGGACCACGTCGGCCACGTTCGCGCAGTATGCGCCGTGTTGCGCAAGGAGAAGCTTTATGCTCGACTCTCCAAATGTGCGTTTGGTCGTAACGAGATTGCATTTTTAGGGCATATGGTTTCCGACGAAGGTCTGCAGGTCGACCCAAAGAAGACCGATGCTATTGCACAGTTTCAAGCTCCGACGTGTCGCAAGGAGCTGCTGAGTTTTCTCGGGCTGGCTGGGTATTACCGTCGCTTCATCTGCGATTTTGCCAAGCTTTCACGTCCTCTTCGAGCATTATTCAAACACGAGACTCGCTGGAGCTGGGGAGAGGATCAACAGCGATCATTTAACGCGTTAAAACTCGCACTTCAGCAGGCTCCGACGCTAAAGCTGCCAGACTTTACGCACCCTTTTATCGTCACTACGGACGCGTCTGGGTTCTGCATGGGCGGTGTCCTCTCTCAGCGCATCAATAATAGCGATCACGCCATCGCACTTTATTCGAAGCATCTGGGCCCCCACGAATTAAAATGGCCCGCTCATGAAAAAGAGCTGCTAGCAATCAAGACTGCTTTAAAAAAATGGCGCCCGTATCTCCACGGACGACACTTTTCAGTCTACACCGACAATTCAGCGTGCAAATGGATGCTCCACCATCCTAAAGTGTCGCCCAAGATGGCACGCATGCTGACGTTCTTTTCCCAGTTCGACTTTGTCTTACATCATGTTAAAGGACGGTCTAACGTCGTGGCCGATGCATTATCTCGACCGGCCGTATCCGAATATCCCTCCAGCGTGCACGCTGTGCCTACGTGCCCAGTTCCCGATCTGTCGCACGTCGTACATGAATGTACGGATGCTTGTGCCCTCAACTCTCACCTTTTGCAGCAACACATGGTTCACTCCGCTCTCATGCGGTCCATTCCGCTCGAAGTCGCACACCTTTTACTTGACGATGTGGAGTTGCGGGGGGAGTCTCGTCCGATAGGAATCGCTCAGGAGCAAATCCACAACGCTGTGTTTCACGTGGTGCGCGCACATCTCAGTGACAAAGTGCGGAAAACTATCCAGCAAGGATATCACACAGACAATTTTTTCCAAAAGATCTGGAGAACTCAACAATCGAAGGACAACTTCATAATCGACAAAGGACTCAAACATGTCAAACAAGACGAGGCAATGCAACAGATATGCATCCCAGACATACCAGAAATAAAGACGAAGATTCTATACGAGTTTCACGATGCAGCCACAGCGGCACATCCAGGAGTGCGCCGAACTTACATAAAGCTAAAGCAATGGTACTACTGGCCGAAGATACTTGAAACCGTGCAGAAGTACGTGGAGACATGTGAAACATGCGCGCGATGGAATTCTAACAGCCAGCGGAAGAAAAGATTAATGATTCCTATTCCCGTTCCGGAAGAATGCTGGGAAGTAGTATCAATGGACTTCATTACTGGGCTACCCGTGTCGGAAGGCTATGATGCTATTTGCGTCGTCGTAGACAAGTTGTCAAAGAGGCCGATTTATGCACCGACATATACGACTGCCGATTCGAAAGATACCGCAGATCAATTTTTTGACGCTGTAGTCCGACATCATAAATTGCCGAAGGTTATTATCAGCGATCGGGATCCAAAGTTCACGGCGAACTTCTGGAAATCACAGATGAATATAATGGGTGTCAAGCTAAGCATGACGACCGCTCATAGAGCGCAATCAGATGGGCAAACGGAGCGCCAAAACTTGGTGTTGGAAGACGCTTTACGCTGCCTGGTATCGTACAGTGGCGACAATTGGGTCAAACTACTGGGTACTGTAGAGTACGCGCACGCTACATCGGTGAACGCATCTACTAAGCTCACCCCGTTCGAAATCGATACTGGGAGAAAGGTATTCAATCTGATTTCGTATGAATACGGAGGCCACGCTGATGTGGCAAAGTCACTACTCAAATTTTGTACGAGGATCGGTGGCCACACCTTTAAAGCGCTGCTTACTGGTGGAAAAGGAGGCCATGAGACTCGGCGATCCAATACGGAGGTGGAAGATGATCTTAACGGGATCGGCGAACCGATCCAACTGTCGTTAGACTAATGGGTATGGATCGACCTGGGACGGAGCGATCTGGAACGATTTACATGGAACAATCTGGGACAAGGATCTGGGACCGGGTGATGGGATATGACTCTGCGACGAAGGTGTAACATCTTGCAGAATGTTATGGGGCGATCTGGAACCAGACGTCGGGATGAAGTCATACAGCTCATTGGAATGCCGGTCAAGAAGAAGTATACGTACATTGAAGCAGGCTAAGATCAGATTGCAGATCGACATGTTGTGGCAACGGTTTGTTGGATAATTGACACATCTGGGACAAGGTGACTCCCCAAAGTGCATCTGGGACCAGGTAGTACGGGTCGGTGAATCGGCAAAGAAGGTGCAACACCATACGGATCGGTAATACTCTTTACCGATCCTAAATTGGGAGTACTGATTTTGGTTAGTTATACACCGATCTGGAAGTTTTTGCATACTCAGGGGGGTCAAGGAAACCGATGTCGAGACGTATGAATGAAGTTGTCGATTGGATAACACTGGAGGATGATACTGAAGCACGTATGAGGAGATGAAAAAGTGTTAATTGCCGATTTAGACCGGATCGACCTCCAACATCTCGATATTGGATGACAGATCGGTCATGTTCCACACTGATCATGAATATATGGTTGATGAAGATACTGGATCATGTGGAATATACTTGATAGAGGTCACTAAGTGATGTCAAGAAGTTCCATGCCGAAAGAGCCAGTGGAAGCTGTCCGAATTGACGTCGCAAAGTGAATTTGGACACATTCGGCATTTTGGGTCAAATATTGGGTACTTGGGTGCCAAGAATGGGTATTTGGTACCATATAGGAGATTTTGGTCCATTGGGTTCTCTAGGTACGATATCGGGGATATTGGCGCTATCATTGGAGTACAGGGCACGAAATTTCGACACGTGGCAAGGGGGCGAACCAGATTCAAGGCGATATCGGTTTGAAGAGTGACCTATAGTTAAGAATAGGCTTAAGGGTAGGTTGGATAGTAATTTGGTTGGTTAATAAACAGACTTGAACTCTACTTCTTCTGCTCACGACGCACGTTATCCTCCCCTCTTCTCCAGGCAAGATTGATTTGGCTTCCCCGGCGGGTTAAGGCACGCGTGTTACAGGGACACAGAAGACCGATCTTGGATTGTTGGCCAAGATCGAGAAGAGCGATCCCGGGATATCTGGCCCGGATCGATCAAGTACTCACACTCAACTCAACTGCTAGGGTAGCAGCACACAACGGAAAAGGAAAAGGATTTTGGACACAAGATCGCGAGACGGCTCAAGTGGTCAGAAGATCTGGACAAGGCGTTCAAGACAAGACCGAGCAGGATCGAAGCGATCCCCTGGACAGATCGGCACGTTTCATTTTGGCGAAACAGGACACCGATCTACCCAAATTGCGCACTTCCGGCAAGATCGGCCGATCCCAAGACCAGATCGGACCGATCCCAAGGCAAGATCGACGCAGGACTTTTATTTGCTGAGTGAAGATTTCCGCACAGCAAAGACCCCGATCTCGAAGACGAATCAAGATCGGTGCAATCCAAGATCGGGATCGCAGAACCCCCGTTCGTGGTGTGAAGATTTCCGCACCGGAAGCGAACTCTTAACCCAACCTCTCAGCGAGATCGACATCTCCCAATGCCGTTACGAAGAGCTCAAGCCAGCCCAACCGACGGGTACACAAGGTGAGCACAAGGTCATACAACAAGGCACGGATCGGAGTACCCCCTCCGTGAGTTGGCAAGTCTGGGCAAGTGGAAGATCGACACTCATACAAGCAATTTTGTGAGATCGACTTCACCACAATGGTGCGCGTGCCCGGATCTTCTGAGGCCTCTGGATTTCACCGTGAGTCCACTGGCGAAGATGTCAAGATTAAGCAAGAACCTGGGATTGAAGTGTCAGCGACAAAGGGATCGACGCAGACACGCAGAAGCACAAGATCCTCAGATCATCAGAGTTTTGGGAGGGGCTCTGATGAAATGAAAATGAAAGAGGAAGATCGAGAGATCGATCTGGGAGATAAACCTCAATTCCCTCCTAGGGTCCCTTCGGGGCCACCGCAGATCGCTCTGCAAAGAGCGATCTGCTGGATGAAAATCCAATGGTAAAAACCAAATCGGCGAAAGCCAAACCCTATATCTTAGTCGATAGATCGCCCGACCTCAAGCCGAAGAGCACAATCGCGAGATCGACCACATCAGAACGATCCGCGACGAGATCGATGGGATCAGATGTCAAAGATCGCCAGATCGGCCGAACCGTGCAATCGAAGATCGGAGCCAAAGAGGAATACGATGAAACACCAGATAAGATCGCGATGCCAAAGACGGAATACAACCCAATAAAGATCGCGTCCATGGAGAAGGAGACGACGGGTGAAGCGCGGGAGCGTGCAAAATGGCAGTACTATTATGGCCAGTTGAAGACGATGCTCAAGACGGACCCAGTGTTCAAGATATTAAGGCCCAAGGTGATTGGTCCTCTGGATAAGCCGATCTCGGTCCCACTTCACGGGACCAACAAAGTCGACGAGATCAATGTGATTTTGCAGATGTTGGACGACATGGGTATCTGCCCTGACGCTTTTGATGGAGATGAACTGCTGAGTTGCAGCTTGGAACAGTTGAAGGACGCGGCGAATGAGTTTGTAGAGATCATGATAATGCTGGTGGGCAAAGCGAATACTCCTGAAGACAAGATCGGGACGCCCTCGGGCTCGCTCTGTAAACACCCCGCGGGATCGCCCCGCTACGCCTCGGAGGACTCCGAGAGCGAGTCAGATGGATCCATCAGCATTCGTCAGATGTCTCTAGGACCATAGGGTGGAAGGTTCTTAACGGACAAGATCGGACAAGCCAAGATCGACGCCTATAAGGGACAAGCCAAGTGCAACATGCCACGGAGATCGGACGGTACCCTTACTGGGCTTGATGATCAAGAAGAGGGCGATCTAAGTCGGTACTTCAATTTAGCCATGAAGAAGTACGAGGCGGATCAATGTACAGCTCAGCGATTGAATCTACAGCCAAACCGCCACCCAGATCGACGTACTTTGCTCCAACCTTCACACGAAAGCCTTGACATGCCGGATGTGGAGATGAAGTCGGTGGGGTCGGACATTTACCAACATATCCATGAGGGGACGGAATACGACCCGGATGATCTATGGATGCCCGAACCACGGCGCCCTCATGTAGCCGCGACCGGTGCGACTACCGGAGGGGGAAGCATCACGCAGAGGATCAGAATCTCAGCGATTTCTGAGCTGAAAGAATTCTCAGGGAAGGATCGGGAAGAAGACAAAGCACGGACCTGGATCGGCAAAGTGAAAACAGCGTTTATCCGGGACCAAGCACCGGACGAGGAGAGATGTCTGGTCTTCGGTGATCTCATGGTGGGCCCAGCCCGCTACTGGTATCGACAGCTGAGTAGATCGACGAGATTCAATTGGAAAGAATTGATGAACAGTTTTCTTGTGGAGTATGCGGGACACGGGATGTCCGCGAGCAGGCAGTACTACCATGCAAAGAAACGATCGGAGGAAGATCCTTTACAGTACCTGTATCGGCAACGTGATGGGAATGCAGGCGAAGATACCGGTGATGACTGGATTGCCAGCTGCGCGCAAGGAACATGTCAATCATTTCATTGACACCTTGGACGACCCCGATCTGTCCAATCAATTGCTACTGCTGAATGTAGAAGACGCGGAGGCCATGCAAAAGACACTGCGCGGATATCAACAAGGGAGATCGCGTCAAGGGAAAGTGATGATGGGATCGTCCAAATTCAGGCAGAAGGGAACTCAGGGTCCAGCGCTGTCTAAGCCTGCACGAGCGGTAAGGATGGTCCGTACCGAGGACGTCTGCAGCGAGTCAGGATCGGACACCTGCGGATCGGATTTGGAAGATCGATTGAGATCGATCCATGTGGCTGCTACTGCGGATCGCCGTTCATCCCCCAATGACGTTGCAGCAAACGCGAGATCGGTCGACCCGAACACTCGTCAAGACTATCAAGATCGCAATATGCCATTGAAGCCGTGTACTCATTGCGGATCGACCAAGCATGGAGATCTCGGTTGCTGGAAGCGGCTCACTTGCCAGAAGTGTGGGCGTAAAGGACACCCCTCTGACAATTGTTTTTTCGTGTGTCGTGCTTGCGGTGAGATGCACGACCCGGGGAAGTGTCCCATGGAGGAGTTCTACAACATGATCCGTCAGTGGTACGTCCCGAATAAGCATGCGGGGATGCTACCAGAGAAGGCCGAGAAGATGTTAAACTAGGACGCTCGCCAGGTTTGAATCTGGTACGAGCCGAGCGTTCTGGGCTCTGCATTATTGCATCCGTGGAAAAAAAAGAAGACAGATCGCGAGAGTAAGCAGGATATTGACGTGGAAACAAATATATCTCGTTCGAAGTTAAAACGTGTCGCTTCCGTGTCCCATCTGAAGCGGATCGATGAGTACTCACGATCTGAACCAGCTATGGAGATCGAGCTCGCTTATGGTGAATCTCGCGGATACTGGAAACATTATTCACCCGGGAAGTGGTTCAAACAAGCGAAAGCCGTTGGCAAGATCAACAACGTAAAAGCTACTCTGTTATTTGATTCTGGTGCTGAAGTGTCGATCATTGACACCACCTTTGCTCGTGAGGTCGGTTGCAATATTGACGAAAGTCAACGACAAGAATGTATCGGGATTGGAGAAACTCCGTACATGACGGTAGGACGTACCAAGATCAAGGTGACCCTCGCGGGATCGCTGGTATACTATTTCAATGTATGGGTAGGCGATCTGGCAGGGCAAGAAGCGATTCTGGGTATGGATTTTATGGTGCCTGCTGGAGTGCGGCTCGATCTAGCGGATGGCGCGCTATGTCTACCAGAAGAAATCCGCATTCATCTCGCAGGACGTCGCCCCGCGTACGGATCGAAGATACAACATATAACGGCGAAGGACCAACACGTGGTGATCCCGGTCGGAGAGTCAAGGGAAGTGATGATCGGGATCGGAGGGGCTAAGATGAAGTTGTGGGTCGCTAGAGGACTAGATTGGGTCCCCACTGTGATCTCGGGTGGGGTAAGACGAAACACCTGCAGATGACCAACATTGGCGACCGTGAGATCATACTGCCCACCCACACTATATTAGGCATGTGGGTCGAAGGCAATATGGTACCGCGAACCCAAGGTTTGGTGACAGTCGGGTCGGGGAAGTACAAGGAATGGCAAATTCTGGCATATGAGACTACGACGGATCGAGTGAACGAACTCCCGAAAGAACCGATCGGACCATTGGTAGATCGTCCTACGTATGCCGCTCCCAAACGCATCTTGAAACGTCCGTCTGATGCGTTACAGAACCTGTCTCCGGCGATCTCCACGGTAACGCCGCAAGCTAACGATGACGATTCGCAAAAGGCAGATGCTGTAGTTTCGAGGGAAGTAACGGTCAGGGGAGCCGAACTATCGCGGATGGAGAACGGTCATGAGATCGGTACCCAACATGCAACGAAGGGAGACCGCGACACCGGGCAAGAAGGGCTACGTGACAGATCGTCTCTACCGAAGGCTGAGCCGACTGACCGACTGTTGAAATTGGGCCAGCCGGAAGAGACGAAGGAGCCTAAAGAAGAAATAATGCTAAATACTGAAGACGTCGAGATTGCAGAAATACCAGTTTATCACCACGAGAACGGAGATTTGTTTGCGGAAGATATCGAGCAGCATATGGCCGTGCTACCAGAGATGTCGGCGACTACGGAAGAAGTTACGATTGAGGACATTCAGATCGGTGATCCCGATGTGCCTCTCACCACAGATCAACAACGGCTCAGATCGCTGATCTGGAAGAGCCGTCACCTCCTCATGGGTAAAGGTAATGCTCTACCACCAGCAGCACGAGGCGCGATCTGTGATATTGATGTTGGTGGGGCAGCACCGATAGCGCAAAGAGTGCGTCCGGTCGCACCCAAATATCGGGAGAAGCTGTCAGATCTCATCAAAGGACTATTAGCAGCCAAAATCGTTCAGCCATCCACGTCACCTTGGGCGTCTCCGATAGTGGTGATCATCAAGAAGAACGGAGTGGATATTCGCCTTTGCATTGATTATCGAAGAGTGAACCAGCTGACGCGTCTGATGGTTTATCCCATGCCGTTGATCAGCGATCTGTTGGAAGATCTGGATAAAGCTCTATGGTACTGTTCGCTAGACATGGCTAGTGGATTTTGGGTCGTCGAAATGACTGAACGAGCAAAACTGATCTCAGCGTTTGTCACACCGTTTGGCTTGTTCGAGTGGCTGCGAATGCCTTTTGGGCTTAAGAACGCGCCCCAGATCTACCAACGTCTGGTGGACAATGCGTTGTATGGATATCTCAAGATCGGCCAGAGATCAGCTTCTGATGGCCCGATCGACGTGTTCAAAGATGGAGAACCTGAGACAGATCGACGACCGTCTATACTGGGACGCCGATCTTACATTGACGATATTCTCATACCAGCCACGTCATGGGGATCTTTGTACACAAAAGTAGAACGGTTGCTGGAGGCATGTGATAAGTGGAATCTGTCTATCAGCCTCACGAAGAGCTTTTGGGGGTGCCGTAAGGTCGATTATTTGGGACATCGAGTGTCGATGGATGGTCTGGAGGCTCAGCCCAAGAATCTAGAGTCGTTGGTTAACATCCCGTTTCCTAGCACGCTACGAGCTATTCAATCCTTTCTCGGGAGCTTGAACTACTACCGTCGCTTCATTGAGGATTTCGCGGTGTATGCCGCGGTGTTGTATGAGTTAAGAGAATCGGATTTCTTCGAGATCGCTGATCTCAGCTTGCAGCAGGAGATGAATGCTCCAACGAGGGTCGATGGACGGAAGCCAAAGTTGCTTTCACTATGCTAAAAGCTAAGATAGCTACAGCTCCCATGCTCAAGCATTTCGACCCAGATCGGTCCCCCGTAATCGTGGTCTCCGCTAGCAAGTGGGCTGTCTCAGCGGCCCTGATACAGGAGTACGATGGCGTGTACCATCCGGTGACGTTTACTAGCCGCACTTTAAAGCATAATGAGCTTAACTACGGAACGGTAGAAAAAGAAGTGCTGGCGCTACTTCGTGTGTTGGATGTATGCTATACTACGCTTGCCTCGCGGGAGATCACTGTACTGACCCGACATTCTACGTTAGCCTGGTTGATGCAGTCTCGAGGGCTCAACGGGAGATTAGGACGGTGGGCTGCTTTGTTGTCAAATTGGACTATGGAGGTGAAGAAATGTGAAAGAGGAGAGGAAGAGATCCTGGGCATGTTAGCAGCGAGTATCACTCCGAGAGGAGAAGTGGAAGAGATGCTGATTGCGATCTCCCCACGAAAAGACTGTCGACTCAAAATATCGATGCCTCCTCCAACGGTGGAAACAGATGAGGAGTTGCTGGTGGCCAGTTTCGATGGATCGGCTAGGATAAAAAAGAAAGGAGGGTCGTTCAGTGCCGTGATATGGAAGTTACCCGAATGGACGATCGTGGCGGCCGATCGAGATATGTTCACGATCTGACTGTGAATGAAGCTATGTATAATGGCTTGCTACTGTGCTTTGAGTTACTCGCCGATCTGGACAGGGGGCGAGTAATACTGTGTGGAGATTCCAGTCTGGTGATTCGACAGATGCGCGGTGAGATCGACTGCAAGGCACCGGGCCTTCAGCTTCTGAGACACAAAGCGTTGGAGAAGCTGCAGTCATGGCCTAGTCACGAGTTTCTGCATATGAAGCGAGAGTGGAATCAGAGCGCAGATCGACTAGCCAGCACAGCATTGCAGAGCGAAAAGGGAAGAACGGTTGTAGCTGAAGAGGATCGGCAAGATCTGATGACTCTGAACCGTCTCGATGAATTGTTGAAGCCCAAGCAAGATGGTCAGCTAGCTCGGGTAACTGCGATCGCGAGATCAGCCAGGAGGATACGTCATGAACCTGAAGTGATACAGGAGGAGATAGTACAGAGGATCAGGATTCAACGAATTGTCCAAGCTCAAGATGAAGAGCGTTGGATTGTCAATCTCAAGACACATCTAAGTGGCGATGTATCAAACTTGGATGCGGTAGAAGTGAAAATGTGCGCCAAACTGGCGCCGGAATACGAGATCGATGAGAACAATCTGCTATTTTTTTGCCCCATGGCGAAAAGAGAGTCGGAAGATCGCGATGGTTTGATGCGGTTGGTGATCCCTGAGATGTTGCAGCAGGATTTTTTGCATCACTATCACACGAGTCTGGAAGGAGGCCATCAGGGTATTGGCCGAACCTATCAGAGGATCAGATCGCGATTTCATTGGAGAGGACTGTATCGGAGCGTTCAACGATATGTGGGCGAATGTACCGACTGTGATACCGGGAAAGGAAACCCGATGATTCATGGGAAATCCCCGGGCAATCTACACGCAACCTATCCATTCCAGATCATCGCCATGGATCATATACCGTCGTTGCCCAAGTCCATCAAGGGGAACACCGAACTGCTCATTTGGGTCGACCTTTTCTCGGGATATGTGATTGCAAAGGCTAGCTCCTCTCGGACGGCACAAACAATAGCGGAGAATTACGAAGATTGTGTGTTTCGACGCTTCGGAGCTAGCGAGGCTATCAGGCACGATCGAGAACCGGGATTTATGTCCGACTTCTTTCGAGCCTTCAGTCGGATCGTAGGACAAAAACAGCGTGCTACTATGGCTTACAGGCCACAAGCAAATGGAACAGCCGAACGAATGGTGCAAACCCTGACACATTCGCTCAAGATGTACGTGGCTGAAGTTGACCAGCGAGACTGGGATGAGTATGCTGAGCGGCTCACATTTGCCATTAACACTGCACAAGATCGGATCCGGGGGGATACCCCATTTTATCTGATTCATGGGTGGGACCCGCGATCGACTTTGGAGGCTACGCTACCAGTGGGAAATACGGGGACACGAGATCGCGATCCAAAGAGGTGGAGATACAAAATTTAAAGACAATACCAGCGAGCCCGATCTGCAGTGAACGATCGTTTACAAGCCGCATTCCAGGAGCGAGCGGATCGACACAACGAAGATCTGGAACCACACGAGATCGAAGTAGGAGCGCAAGTTTGGCTATACCTGGACCGAGTTAAAGAGGGATATGTGAAGAAGCTAGCGCACATGTGGCATGGGCCATTCCGAGTTGCGGACGTATGTGGAGATCATGCTGTAAAATTGGAGATCGCTGGAACCCCATATCTGTTATTTCCGATTGTACATATATCGAAGCTAAAAAAGGTAAAGACGTTCCCTGAACGCCCGAAGGATCAGCTTACGATAGAGGAATCGGATCGCTTGGATTTCGATGAAGCTCTGCTGCCAGAAGACAGTTGGGATGGCGATCTTGAAGAAGTGGAATACGAAGTAGAGGCAATATTGGACGTGCGATCTGGTAGGAAAACCCGTTATGGGCGAGTACACCGGCAGTTTCTGGTGAAGTGGAAGGGATATCCCGATCTAAGTTGGGTGGACGAGGCCGATCTAAGTTGTGGGGCGATCTTGCAAGAGTTTGAGCGGAACCAAGTGAGTCGAAACCGTTTCGACGTAATGCAGTCTCATGAAGGCAAGTCGGACGAACCTTAACAGTTCGAACAAGTATGCGGGAGGTAGCATATGCGGATGTAGGGGTTGAAAGATGTGCTAGACGGTAGCACATGCTGGTGGATGAGGTTTTTGTATATGAGAATGGAGATAGTCAAGTGAATTACCTTCCTGAATGATGTGGAGCGATGAGGATCGAGATCGTGGAAGTTGCAAAGAATGGAAGTACCAAAAAAGAAGATGATTGAATGACTTACACGATTATGAAAGACGATCGGGCTTGGATATCGATCTTGGACTAAGACGAATGAGCAGGTTTGAACTTGTCCTGCAGACGAGGGATCTGCGATCCGGGATGATCCCAATAGGCGTTACGGAACTGGTTGCGCCAAGGATCCTCTTGGTCTGCCATGTCCAACGCCTCTAGCAAGTCAGCTGGGTCGTTAGAGTGTCCTAACCCTGGATACCAAACTCGGTCTTCATGTGGGCGCGGATAGTGGAGGATGAAGGGATCTAGCAAGATGTCGAGATCGCAGTGGCGAGCGATCATGCCGCTGAGTATCATCTTCAAGAAGTTCTTCCAACGCGCTCCAAAGCGAGAACGGCGTTGTTTTCGTTGGCGCCAGAAGGTCTGCATGAACCGTTCAGATCGCCGTTGAGCCGGAGGAATCGGGAAAGCATGAGTGGATTCCCACAGAGCTTGTCGATGAGTGGACTCAAGCTCCAGGTACCGATGACTCATATCACGATACCATCCAGTCATGGTGAACGATATCGGGTTCACTGGGACTATGATATTATCCCAAGGGGCTGTAGCGTAAAGAGCCTCGATGTGTTGCCGCGAGATCAGCCCAGGAGCCCAAGTCCCCGTAGGCGGAGCTCGTCCATGATTGTAGAAGGGAAACAGAAAATTCCTGGGTTTGGAGTAGTGGTGAAACAACAGCTCAATGGTCATGGTCCTCACGCAAACCATCGCGATCCGCGAAACGGACCATGGAGCGATCTCGGAAGCTACCCGTCGGGAGGGCGCCAGATAGTTGGGAATCCACCGATCCCGTGGTTGCTGGAGTGGCGGAAGATTGTCGAAGTCAACGGAAGAGAAAACTCTGTTAGCCACTTGGCGTGCCGGAAGGGTGATGCTGTTTTCGCTATCGGACGAATGGCGATCCGAAAGCGCAGTGGACTCCGGAGGCGGACTAACAAAGCCAGTCTCGCTGTGTGTCTCCCCTGTCGGCGATACCTCCACGTCTTCTACGCCGCCATCATCTTGAATTTCGACTACGGGGACAGCCGCGACCGGAGTGGATGGGTACGAAAGATAACGAGGCTCCGGAACGTCTGGAGAAGGCGAACGCAACAGTGCTTGAGCCAACGCAGTAGCTGCGGGAGAAGCGGGAACAACCCGAGCGGCCGGAGAGGGGTTCGGGGTCGAAGATCGGGCATCCGATCTAGGTTGACGACGAGCGGCCGATCTCGATTGGGATAATGCAGCACGAGTCAAATCATCCGAGCTAGAATTCGACTCGGTCAGCTCCTCACTTCCCGATCCAGTCCCAGAAGCCGAGGACAAAAGCGGAGAACAAGAAGAATTGGGTGGAGGCTCGGGTGGGGCCAATCCGGGAAGTTTGTTTAAAGGCATTGAAGGGTTCAACGACAATAGCCGGGAAGCCACACGGGCGGTAGAAGAATCACTGGATCGTGACCTTGGTTGAATACGCCGACGCTTGGCAGGCGGGCCGGACGATCTCGATCTGGACCTACGGGCAAGCGATCTCGATCCCGGGGTAGTGGGAGCAGGGGGCGATCCGGCCGGAGTAGCACTCTTAGGCGTCGATCGAGCGGTCAACGCAGACGATCGGGATCCGAGTATAGCACTGTTCAGTGTATCGAGGAGAGCACGGTGTTCAGCTATAGCCTGATCCCGATCATGCTCCACCACCTGCAACTGGTCGTGTACCTCGAGGTGTTCCGCAAGCTGACGACGTAGGTTGGCGTTCTCCGCCTGCGAAAGTACCAACTGACCCTCTAGGGGAGTCAAACCATCCACTTGTTGTATGAGATCGCTGATCGAAGACAGTCCATCTGCGATCTCCTCCTGAGACTGAGCCAATTGCTCCTTCAAGTGCAAAATATCTATGTGAAGGAAGGACCTGTCCATGGTCAGCTGATCACGCTGCTGTCGGAGAGAATTGAGTTCGGCTTGGAGCGAATGAAGCTGAGCCCTCAAAGCATCCACCTGTCGTTCCAAGTTCCCCTGAGCCTCGTCGTTGGCACATATCAAAGTGCGTAGCCGACGAATTTCTTCCGATTGATCTCGATATGTCCGCAGAGCTCGATTGCAATCACTCAAAGAATGCACTGCGTCGACGTAGCGGCCCTGCATCCAGTCATATCGACGCTGGACGAAGGAGACAAAAGGAGCGGCTGATCTGTACAGCGAATCAAGCTCGTCTTGTAAGCGATTCCCCCGGGCGACGGCATCTCGGTAGGACTGCTGGAGCGCATGAATGGTGTCGGCTTGGCTGCAGAAGGTAGCCTCTCGATCCCACAAATACGAGATCGTGGCCATCGTGAGACGAACGTCGTCGGCAGAAACTCTGGGAACGAAGCCGGTGACGCCCACAGCTGGAGCAGACCTTTCACGAGATTCATTAGCGGCCGGGATGTCGGATCTGGACGCATCTGGGGCCGCCGGAGGAGTGGGAAGCGGGAATGGCTCGGAAGAACGACCTGATAATTCCGCGTCGGTCGAGAGCGATCCGACCGATCTGGGATTACTGAGAGACTCATGTTGATCTGGAACGATAGGAGCATACCACCCGCGTTCCGGCAATCTAGATGGCGAGTCTCGGGATGGAGACGAGGGTCTGGTCGGCTGTCGATCTGGCGATCCTGTGGGGATTGTGGGCGATCCAGTTGGGCCTAGATGGCGCGGAGACCCAGGCCGATCGGGGACTGCTGGGGTGTGTCCTCCGAGATCGGGCGATCCGGGCGACAGGTCGCATCCGGAGACAGAAACATGGTGGGTCCTTCTGATGAGATCGGCGAGGTGGGTGGATGCGTCGGAGAGGCCATGAGACGGACTTGAGGGCTTGGAACGAAGTTGATGAGTGACTGTACTGAGGTCAATTGCTGTACAAAAGACTTCAGTACAGGGGGCGGTTGTGGCAAAGTCACTACTCAAATTTTGTACGAGGATCGGTGGCCACACCTTTAAAGCGCCGCTTACTGGTGGAAAAGGAGGCCATGAGACTCGGCGATCCAATACGGAGGTGGAAGATGATCTTAACGGGATCGGCGAACCGATCCAACTCTCGTTAGACTAATGGGTATGGGTCGACCTGGGACGGAGCGATCTGGAACGATTTACATGGAACAATCTGGGACAAGGATCTGGGACCGGGTGATGGGATATGACTCTGCGACGAAGGTGTAACATCTTGCAGAATGTTATGGGGCGATCTGGAACCAGACATCGGGATGAAGTCATACAGCTCATTGGAATGCCGGTCAAGAAGAAGTATACGTACATTGAAGCAGGCTAAGATCAGATCGCAGATCGACATGTTGTGGCAACGGTTTGTTGGAGAATTGACACATCTGGGACAAGGTGACTCCCCAAAGTGCATCTGGGACCAGGTGGTACGGGTCGGTGAATCGGCAAAGAAGGTGCAACACCATACGGATCGGTGATACTCTTTACCGATCCTAAATTGGGAGTACTGATTTTGGTTAATTATACACCGATCTGGAAGTTTTGCATACTCAGGGGAGTCAAGGATAAAGGAAGTGATCGATTCTAGATGAAGTTGGTAAAATGCAAAGTGAATATATTTAGGTCCTTAGTTCACAAACTCCTATTGCTAGTCTAAGCCTACTGAATTCTTTCTGCCTATACGTTAGTAATCGCCACATTGCGCATTACTACTGGTATAGAGCAGATTAGTAATCGCCACATCGCGCATTACTAATCGTCTAGTCGCACATTACTAAATCTAGGCGGTGTGTTTCTAACAAACACCTAAACTTACTAAATGTGGGGGACGTCACTGTCTGGCAGGACAGTGCTGGTGAACCCCGGCACACCAGTACCCGAAGGTATTAACTTTTATTGCAGTCACTGGATATCGAACCAGTGACCTCTCGTATGGTGCTGCCACACCATACCACATGAGCTACGTGCATCTTACAAAATCAGCCTGCCGAGGCGTTTGTTTTGCAACACTCCCACTCGCCTCGGCAGACCGTGGCGCCTTGATGCCCAACATACTTCGAAGATACTGGAACTGTGATGCAGGAATTGGCTTGGTCATTAGGTCAGCCTTCATGTCCTTGGTCGAGCAGTATTCCAGGACCACTTTTCCTTCTACCACCTTTTCACGCACAAAGTGATAACGAATGTCGATGTGCTTGGTCCGCTTGTGGAACTCGGGGTTCTTGGCCAATGCGATGGAACCTTGATTGTCTTCGTAGATCTTGACTGCTTCGTCGCTATTCATCTCGCCGAGTTCATGTAAGAATGCCTTAAGCCAAATTGCTTCTTGTGCAGCTTCAGTCAAAGCCATGTACTCGGCTTCTGTAGACGATAGAGCCACGGTGCTCTGTTTCTTGCTTCTCCAGCTAATGCATCCGTTGTTCATCACAAAGGCGTACCCGCTTGTGCTTCGTCTAGCCTCGACATCTCCAGCCCAGTCCGCGTCCGAGTAGCCTTGCAGCTTGTCATCACTGGTTGCTTGGAATTCAATTCCATACGTCCTTGTGCCTTGAATATAACGGAACACCCGCTTAAGCGCTTGACAATGGGTTGGACAAGGTTCTGCCGCGAACTGACTGAGAACTCCCACTGCAACTGCGATATCCGGGCGGGTCCCCACCATGAGATACATCAAACAGCCGATGGCGTTGCGGTATGGCACATTTGCCATTGTTTCCGCATGCTTGCACCCATCTGCACACATTGACCTTGTCAACTTGAGTCCAGGGTCTTGTGGAGTCTTCACAGGTTTGCTGTTTTCCATGCCAAACTTCTCGAGAATATCTTTTGCAAATTTGGACTGACGGACTGAAATCGTGCCGGCTGAGAGGTCTTGATCAATTTCCATCCCGAGGAAGTACTTGAGGTCGCCCAGGTCAGTCATGTCGAAGCGTTCACTTAGCGCCTGCTTAGTTGATTGTATCAGCTCGAAGTTGTTACTTGCGATGACTAAATCGTCAACGTACAGCGCCACGAAGATCATGTCTTGATGATGTCGCTTGACGTAGATGCAGTGGTCAGTTTTGTATTTTCGAAACTTCAAGTCCAGCATAAACTTGTCGATGGTCTGGTTCCACATTCGTGGTGACTGCTTCAGACCATACAGAGAGCGCTTGAGATGACAAACAAGCTCCGGATGATCTTCATCAACGTAGCCATCCGGTTGTGTCATGTAGATGTCTTCATCAAGGTTTCCGTTCAGGAAGGCTGTCTTGACATCCATCTGGTGAAGCATCAGATTGTGCTTTGCCGCCAAGCTGAGTAAGATCCTGATTGACGTAAACTTGGCCACCGGAGCAAAAGTTTCTATATAGTCGATGCCATGTTTCTGCAGAAAACCTTTGGCCACCAAACGCGCTTTGAACCGCTCGATTGTCCCATCCTTGGTTTCCTTGACCCGAAAAACCCATCGATTGCCGATTGCCTTGCGCCCCTTTGGTAGCGGTACAAGCTCCCAGGTCGATTTCTGGCGAAGTGAAGTTATTTCAGAATCGCATGCCTCTTTCCAGTGGACTGCATCGCTGGATTCCATTGCTGACTTGAGCGTTGTCGGCATTTCTCCCACTGAATCCACGATGTAGGCCGTCTCAACGTCGGGACTGTCATGCGCTGTCGCAGACATTTCAGCCATGGTGGGGTATCGACTTGGTCTTTTCGACTCTGGAGGGTTCGCTAAGGCTTCGAGCGACTGCGTGCGTTGGTGCCTCTTTCCCCTGATCGCATCGTTATTATCCTGCGTAGTGTCCTCTCGTCCCGTGTCAGGGTTGTTGGTATAAGTGTACTCTTCTTCAGATAACTGTTCATCTTCGAGGACAGCTTCATGTGGAACGTAGTCACGTCTCCCACTATCGAAAATGTTCTCCATGAACTGTGCGTCGCGACTTACCAGCACACGTCCGCTCCTGATCTCCTCAAAACGATACGCTTTCTCATGATCGGAGTACCCGATGAACCGGCAATGAACTGATCTTGCGTCTAGCTTGGACCTTTTTGGCTTGGGCACATGAACGTATGCATGACAACCAAAAACCTTCAAGTTCGCAAGAAGAGGTTTCTTGCCAGTCCATACTTGGTATGGTGTCTTGCCATGGTCCGTAGATCGAGTTGGACAGCGAATGCGTAGGAAGTTTGCGGTCATTACCGCCTCACCCCAATACGACTTGGACATCGCAGCATGTTCCATCATGCAGCGTGCGCATTCCACCAGCGTTCGATTCATTCGCTCGGCGACACCGATCAATTGAGGAGTGTAAGGTGGTGTAAACTTCTGCACAACACCATGGTCCGAACAGAACTTGGTCATCATACCGGAGGTGTACTCTCCACCGTTGTCGCTTCGAAGAACCCTCACGCGATTGCCAGTTTGTGTCTCCGCCAGTGCGACAAACTGAGCGAACTTGGTCAAAACTTCAGAATTGTTTTGCATCAGATACACCACACAATAGTGTGAGTATTCGTCGATAAACGTGACAAAGTAACGTTTTCCACTGAATGTCGCCGTGTGCATAGGACCACACACATCGCTGTGAATGACCTCCAGCAGTGTCGTTGCGTGATCGGGTGACTTCGTCATATAGCTCACCCGTGTTTGCTTGCCCAGAGCGCACCCTTCACATAGCTCCCACTTGTTTACCGAGGTCAAGTTGATTCCGTTGCAGCAATCGTTTTTGACGATAGCATCTAGTCCCCCGTGTCCAATGTGACCAAGTCGAAGGTGCCAGAGGTACGACGTGGTGCTTGCTTTGCAGGTATTGGAGCTTGCCACGTTGACCTCGTCGGGCAGTTCCGGTACCATACACAGCTTGAACAGTCCTTTTCCTTCGAGTTCGCCGAGTTTCCACTTGATACCCTTTGTATCAGCAAAGCAACCATCAACCTCGAATGTGACCGGTCCAACATCCTTGGTGAATCGTCCAACGGAGAATAAGTTGCGTGACAGTTTTGGAATATGCCACACACCGGTGAGCACACCCTTCTTGATCCCGCGCGGAGTCTTCATTGTCATCACGATGTCACCTTTTCCAATTGCTTGGACCACACCGTCATCAGCAAGATGCACATCCACAGGGCCAAAATCCTTGTAGTTCCTCATGAACCTTTTTGAATTTGTCATGTGCTGCGTCGCACCCGAGTCGACCAGCCACATGTTGCTCGACTTGGTATGTCACCACCAACCGAGAAAAGATAATCGCCAAGCTCTTCTTCTTGCGCGATATTCGCACGCTGGAACCTCTGTCTACCAGCGTCTTCTTGGATCCGCGAAGGGCATTCCGCAATCCAGTGTCCTTGTTTTCCACACTTGTGGCACGCACCGGTCTTCTTCATCGGTCGAGCCTTGCGCTTGTTATCTCGAGACATGAATGCTTGAGCTTGACTGTGCGCGGATCCTTCAATTCCGCCACCTTGTTCCTTGCGCTTCATGTCTTCGTGCAGTAGACGAGACGTCACCAGCTCCCACGTGATTGAGTCGGCTCTCGACTCCAATGCTGTAATCAGGAACTGATACGACTCGCTGAGGCTGGCTAGAAGCGTGATCACCAAGTCATCCTCGCTGACCGGAGCACCCACTGCGTCGAGCTGCTCCGCCAGCGTCTTGAGTCTGTTGATGTGCTCCAGCACATCATCACCTTCGTCCATCATCGTCGTGAAGAAGCGTCGACGAAGGAAGAGCTTGTTGGCCAGGCTCCTCTTCTCGAAGTGTCCTTCCAGTCTTGACCATGCATCATGCGCGTCACTAGCTGACCGGACCAATGGTAGCTGCGAGTCTTCCATTGCGAGACAGATGATTGCGAGCGCTTTGCGCGACTTCCTCTTGAACGTTGCTTGATCAAGATTGCTGGTGCAGTTCTCGAGCTTGACCTCGCCGCTCACGACCTCCCACAGGTCCCGCTCCTCAAGCACCATCCGCATCTTGAACTTCCATGTGTGGAAGTTCGTTCCCGAGAACTTGTTGATGCGAGCTGCGGTGATTGGAGCAGAGTCCATCGAGAAAGCGTGATCGAAGTCTTGGCCAGAGTCAGCGGAGCTTGGGCTCATAACCTAAAGAAAGTGATCGATTCTAGATGAAGTTGGTAAAATGCAAAGTGAATATATTTAGGTCCTTAGTTCACAAACTCCTATTGCTAGTCTAAGCCTACTGAATTCTTTCTGCCTATACGTTAGTAATCGCCACATTGCGCATTACTACTGGTATAGAGCAGATTAGTAATCGCCACATCGCGCATTACTAATCGTCTAGTCGCACATTACTAAATCTAGGCGGTGTGTTTCTAACAAACACCTAAACTTACTAAATGTGGGGGACGTCACTGTCTGGCAGGACAGTGCTGGTGAACCCCGGCACACCAGTACCCGAAGGTATTAACTTTTATTGCAATCACTGGATATCGAACCAGTGACCTCTCGTATGGTGCTGCCACACCATACCACATGAGCTACGTGCATCTTACAAAATCAGCCTGCCGAGGCGTTTGTTTTGCAACAAAGGAAACCGATGTCGAGACATATGAATGAAGTTGTCGATTGGATAACACTGGAGGATGATACTGAAGCACGTATGAGGAGATGAAAAAGTGTTAATTGCCGATTTAGACCGGATCGACCTCCAACATCTCGATATTGGATGACAGATCGGTCATGTTCCACACTGATCATGAATATATGGTTGATGAAGATACTGGATCATGTGGAATATACTTGATAGAGGTCACTAAGTGATGTCAAGAAGTTCCATGCCGAAAGAGCCAGTGGAAGCTGTCCGAATTGACGTCGCAAAGTGAATTTGGACACATTCGGCATTTTGGGTCAAATATTGGGTACTTGGGTGCCAAGAATGGGTATTTGGTACCATATAGGAGATTTTGGTCCATTGGGTTCTCTAGGTACGATATCGGGGATATTGGCGCTATCATTGGAGTACAGGGCACGAAATTTCGACACGTGGCAAGGGGGCGAACCAGATTCAAGGCGATATCGGTTTGAAGAGTGACCTATAGTTAAGAATAGCCTTAAGGGTAGGTTGGATAGTAATTTGGTTGGTTAATAAACAGACTTTGTAACGGGGCACCCTGAAGCTTGTACTGGTGACAGTACAAGCTACTTATTCTGATAACAGAATAAGGCGGTGCCTCGTAACTTCACGTACACTCGTACGTGCAGAGGAAGACGGTAAGAAGAAGCGAGTACTCGGTTAGAGTAAAAAGTAGAACTGTATTTATAATAGTTAATGTCTGCAATAAATCACTATTTATCTTCATCTAACTATGTCTAAATACAAATGTGTAAATCAGTTATCTGCTCACCACTCATTGCGTGCGTCTGTCGTGGCGCGTCTTCGTTGGTTGATATAATGGCCTATATCAACCAATTAGGAACTACTTGGAAGTGCTACCGAATATTGTCCTTATGACAATATTCTGAGAATATAACTCTTATAGTTATATTCGATTAACAATTTCGTATAAATTGTTATGTAACGATTCACCCCGTTACATCACCCCCCCCTTAACCATCAGTCACTTTAGTGACTGATTGACTAAATGGATACTCGTCCCAAATCATTTGGGACGGGGTTTGCACTTGTTGGTCCGCGTCCACTTTCCAACATCTCATCGCATGGTAAACAAGCCCATGCGATGCGCGAGCAAGGCCGCCGAGAGCGCGTCTGCACGTCTCTGTGCGGACGCCGAAGCAGAAACTACAGCAACTGATGTCCCATCGGTTGCTGAAGCAACCCAGCCTGTGTCACTTGGTGATGCAGGCGCTGGTCATGAAGACACGAGTGTCTTCACAGAGTACGAGCTCGGTGTCTCGTACTCTCCTGATACGGATGACGGATCCGTATCGACGGCAATTGAATCCAAGCCGCCTGCCAAGCGTGGCATGGACGATGCTTTGCGTCGCAGCATCTTTGGTTCATCTGATGAGTCAGATGAACCATCGCCGAAGCGAAGGCGCTCGAGGTCGCGAGACTCGGGCGCTAATAGTGGTGTCGTTTCTCCAATGGACACCACTTCACAGCGAGGTGCCAGTACTTCTGTCGGCACGTCGCAGGAAGAGCGGGACCGCAATATGTTGCGTCTCGCTCCAGAAAAGAAGGCATGGATGCCTCCTAAATCCGTCATGGATCACTTGTCGGCGACGACGAGTGATCGTTATCGAACACGATTGTTCGATTCGTCAAGGATTCATCACTTGACCCCAGCGCGAAAGACTATCGCGCTGAACATGAGTTCTTCATCGATGCTTTCTTCAGACATCGATGGTACAGTGGGAATCACAAACGTGATGGTCCCTCACTACTTCAGGCGTGGAACGCCTACATCCATAATCTCGAGGATGTAGGTCGTGACGCTTGGAACGACAAACTTATCAAAGCTCGTGATAAGTTTGAAAAGCGAACCCCGACAGGTGCACGCTACAAGCTGCATCGTCTGTCAAGGGAGAAAGGATTACCCTGCCTCTCTTGGGGAGACTCGTGCCCATGTTGTGTGAACAACTCTGCACGAGCACCTAAGGAGGCTTACCTCCTTACCAGCCCGTGGTGGCGCGTACGTGTCTCTACTGAGATGTACGAAGGGATTGACAACCTGAAATCCTTTACGACCGTGCCGGGAAGACTTTCTCCGGCGGTTCTTCTGCGGCACAGGATGTGTCGCGTCGTACTGCTCGACCAGACCCAGTACGTCAACCATCAATTGGGAGCGGGGCTCCCAAGAATCCCAGGACGGGGATAGCGCGCCACCGGACGAGGTAACTCGTCCGACGTCCGTTCACGTCGCGGTGGTTCAACAGCTGCTCAACTAGATAGCGCTGGCCACCGCGAGAGTCCTCTAATGGAGGTGGAGGAGGAGGAAAGACGCTCTCCACACGATCATGTGGATCGGTGTGTTCCCGAGAGCTTCTTTGATCGCGTAACGCAAGGGTTACGCGGCGATCTCGAACATGAGCGGGACAGGCGTCTCCAACTGGCGGACACTGCCTCGAAGCATCGAGCTGAGTTTGCCTTTGCTCAGCTTGAGAACGAGAGATCTCTGACATCTCTTCGTGACGAGCTAAGGGTAGCTCGTGGGATTGTTGATCGGTCTCGGGCTGAGATAACTGCTCTTCAGACCCTTGTTGATGCCCACCATCGGGAGCACAAGGCTCTCTGCGAGATGCTTGAGCGCAAGGGCGTTCTTCATCGGAAGAAGCAGCGTACTGATGGTACGGCTTAAGCCGACCAACGTAAAACGTGGGATGCGTTCGCATCTTACGTGGTAACTCGATCGTGTATGCATTGCCTAGGCGGTGCAATACACGAAATGGGCCAATGTACTTGGGTAGTAGTTTACTGCTACCCAAGTTAGTCACTACATGCTTTGGTAGATTAACCGTAGACAGTAGGACTAAGTCACCTTTACTAAATAAAAGAGTGTTTGCCCTTCCATTCTTGTCAGCGTTTTGCTTTTTGCTTATCCACCGCTTCGGCGATGGAGTCTTGCACAAAACGGACTACCGTTTCACGAGCCAGTATGAACTCATCTGATGACTCGTTAGCTTCAGTGTGCTGTGAGCGCACTGCAGCAACAACAACCTTTTCTTCAGTGAGGGCTTCCCGCACTCTCACTGGGATCATTGTCTTCAGTGAGGGCTTCCGCACTCTCACTGGCATCATCTTCTTCGATATCGATGTTATCGATATCGGCATCAAACGCAATGACTTCTTCGTCAGAGCGTGATGAGCGTGAACCAAATCGGTTTTTGCTCGCGCGAGTCCCTCCCCTTAAACCAGAGTTACACTCTAGTAAGGTGGGTACACGCGGATGGCGCAAGCCATTCACGTAAAACGGTGTATGTGTCGTGGACGCATGCACCGAGTTGTTGATGGCAAACTCTACCATCGGCAAAAACTCACTCCAACTCTTAAAGGAGTGTACGTATCCTCGAAGTATCTCTTCAAGGACACGATTGGCACGTTCCGTCTGACCATCTGACTCTGGATGATCAGATGTTGACATCTTCAAGCGCGTTCCGAGTGATTTGAACACGGAACGCCAGAAATCAGCAGTGAATCGTGGATCTCTGTCTGATACGAGTTCACGGGGCAACCCATGAAGTCGGAAGATGGTGTCAATAAAGACACAAGCACAGCCACTTGCCGTGATTGTCTCTGGTACAGCCACAAGGTGTACCATTTTGCTGAATCTGTCAACAAATACGAGAATACCCGTATTCCCGCGTGCGTCTTTGGGTAACCCGAAGACGAAATCCATTGAGATGGATTCCCAGCACTCAGCCGGAACCGGTAGAGGCTGTAAAGGTGCACGCAGTGAAGGACTTGACTTCACTCGTTGGCAGATTCGCATGCGCGAACATACTTTCGCACAAACTGATACTGGCGGGGCCAGTAAAAGTCTCGACTTACCGTGAGATATGTTTTTCTCGGCCACGATGTCCTCCTATAGGAGCATCGTGATACTCGAACATGATCCGCAAACGCAGATCAGTATCATCTGGAATGACAACACGTGGTGTGTCACCAGAAACGGCTGTATAGTACAGTAAACCGTTACGAGTAGTGTATCGATCTGATGCAGATCGATACGCAGACGACAATCGTTTCAACGATTCTCGAGATGGTTGGGAGAGATGTGACAACAACTTCACTATCTCACCATCTTGGGCGTATGCCCGCCTCACATCATCATACAACGTTGTAGATGGAACTGAGGACGTCATAACCGCAACAGTGACTGTCTCACTGTTGGGTTTCGCGACTGTTTCAAAGTCGGGACGACGTGAGAGTGCATCAGCGACGACATTAAGTCGTCCTGGTTTGTACTCAACCGTAAAGTTGTATTACGCAAAGAATGACAACCACCGCGCCATTCGTTGTGAAAGGTGGGGCTGTTCACTGCCGTGCGTAATGACGCATGGTCAGTGTAAAAATGAAGGGTCTATCTCCTAAGAGATAGACTCTGAACTTCGCGAGTGCATACTTCATGGCAAGGAGTTCCTTGTCATGCACTGGATAGTTCCGCTCAGCTGGTTGCAGCTGACGCGACTGATAGCAGACGACGCGTTCAACGCCTTCAAGATCGTACTGCATTAATGCACAGCCGATTGCGAAATCGCTGGCATCACAGACCACATGAAATGGCCTGTCCTGATCGGCTATTGCTAGACTGGGGATTGTATCAAGCTCTGCTTGATACCCTCAAAGGAGCGTTGACATTAGCGTTCCATAACCACCTCTCGTTCTTTTCAACAAACGAGAGAGGTGTACAGTCATCTCGGCGTAATTGGTGAATACTTATGCAAATACGCCGCTAGCAAGGAATTTTCGAAGACCTTTTGACATCGACCGGCACGGGCCAGTCGGTGATCGCCTTGATCTTTTCGGGATCAGGACGTACACCGTTCTTACCAAGATGCACCCAAGAAGTGGTATTTCGCTTGCTGCAAATATACACTTCTTGAGGTTTGCATACAATTGATGCTTTCGCATGATTGTAAGAACTTGTCGGACGTGGTACTTGTGAACCTCAACGTCCGACTTTCCATCCATAGCTCGACTATGGATGAATACGTCATCGAAATAACTCGGCGCGAATTCTCGTACTGGCCTCAACAGATGTGATAACACCTGTTGAACGTGGCAGGGGCATTACTGAGCCCTTGTGGCATTACTAGCCATTCCCAGAGCATGCCGCTAGGCGTGCTAACTGCGGTATAGGGTATATCCCGTTCCCGCATTAGGATTTGATAGAAGCCATCCATCAAATCCATGGACGAAAAGATGGTACTCTTTGACATACCATCAATGATTACGTCCTTCCTCGGTATCGGCGTCTGAGCCGGTACCGTTGCAGCGTTCAATTTGTTAAACGCGTGCATATCCGCCACCCTCCTGTTGCTTTTCGCACACAGAAGGTCGGAGAGCTATGTGGGGAAGTTGATTCCCTCACATGGCCCGCTGCTAAACGATCGGCAAAGAACTTGTCGATCGCAAGTACTGTTCACGAGGCAGTGGCCACTGCTTCATGACACAGTACTTCGAGCCTGGTTTAAGCTCGACTTCGTGTCGAATACCTTTATCCTTCGGTAATTCGCACGGAACAGTTTCAGGGAATACATCCTTGAATTCAACCAAATCTTCATAAGAGGATTTTCCTTGAGCGATTCCCATGATTGGGACTCATATCGCTCAATTCGTGTCTTTTCATCTAGGGCACTCTCGTCCATAGATGAACTACTGAAATCTCTCGTTCTCAGTAAACACTGTTGCTGACCTTATGTCGGTTACATACTCGTCTTCAGCGACGAGTATGCAGATCTGCTTGACTTTGCCACTACGCAGATCACGCAAGAATCTTTTATGTTCGAGCGTTGGCAACTGAGTGATCTCCGAAGTTAACTTCGGAGGCGCAATCAGATCAAGTGTATAAGCGCCTACACATGATCCGTTATTGACTATGACATTCAATGCCTCTGTCATTTCCTGGGGACTTATTCCCTCAGGCTTCGAAGGACTTATTCCTTCGTCTTCCCGGGGACTTATTCCCGCGGGTTTCGGGGAACTTATTTCCGCCGTATTTGTAATCTTGGGACTTATTCCCTTTACTTCCTCTAGCTGGGGTTGCGCAACCACAGCGAGATCCTCTACGAAAGACTCTCCAGTCGATCTAGGATTATCGTTTCGCTTAACCTGAGCGATCGATTGTTTCTCTTCTAGATGTTCCCCTCTAGGGATACATCTTTGTCCCAGTCCACCCGACTTATTCGAGTGGTGGACCTTCGGCGCAGCCTGTGTTTCCTCACAGCCGCCGGAACTTTGCTCCGAAGTGTAACCGTTTGGTACACTAAGGTTTTGTGCAGTCGTACTAACGACCGTACCACAAGTGAGGCCATCGCACTCACTCGTAGTACATCCACACGCTTGTGGACGCTCCAAAACGTTCATCAGATGGCCATCTGATGAACAAGCGGCAGGCATCGTTACTGTCCGATGTTGCCAGTTTACCCGTGGTTCGTACCTTCTGAGCCACGGTATTCCAAGGATGACATCAAATTTGTCATCCAAATCCAATACGATAAAGTCATCGTCGTATTGGGTATCTTCTAGCGTATAGTGAATCTTCACTATACGCTTCATACGGTTACGGATGCGCCTGTCGCAAGACGTACCGTCATCCTCGTAGGAGGTGTGTCACATTCACTGAATTTAAAGTGACCATCTTCTAGCGATTGGCGTCGCACAAAATTGTTGGACGCTCCACAATCGACTAGAGCTCGAAGGGACAACTTATTCGTCACTTCGAGTTTCAAGGTAATGAGTGAGATCTCATTACCTAGAGCAGCAACGCACAATGTCTGTGTGTTGGGAGCAACCTTCATCAAGAGGCCTACAAATTCTCTTGACGTTGCTGGATCAGTAGGTGCTCCGCACCTACTGATCCTGTCCGTTTTTTGACGGTCCATCCCGTTGTTGCGTCTTTGCACCAACTGCGGACCCTCGTCCTGCCCCTTTCTCATGGGTGGACGGTCACTACGCCCAGTGTCGCGAGAACGGACGAGGGGCACTACACTCGTAAGCGTAGTGTCCTGTCTTTTGACATCTGTTGCATCTCTGCAACTTCTTGTAGCCTGTAGAGCGAGCCTTCTCGCTCTCTACATAACAGAGTTCCATCGGCTCTGGACCTCCGTTGTCATATCGTCTCGGTTGACGATATGATGTCGAGCTGGCGCGAGCCTGTCTCAGACTGAAGTCTTCCTGCTCCGCAATTGAAATGGCTTGTTCTAGTGAATCTAGTTCAAGCCGGAACAGGTGAGTCTTGACGGGACCATCCGCAAGACCCTGCATGAACACCGAAACCAACGTGTGTTCATCCACCGGATTGGAACTTATACAACTCGTGAGATGTCGTATATGTTGAGCGTAAGCGTGCACATCACGCTTACCCTGCTTGAGCTTCAAGAGTTCGGTTCGAGCTCTGAACTCAGCTCTAGGCGGTTCAAACGTTTGTCTGAGCCGCGACTTGAAGACTTCCAACGACCCAAACGCATATGGGTCGTGCAACGAGCCCCAGTGCCCAAGTCTTGGCACGTCCTGCCAGATTTGATTGGGCAAATGCAACTTGCATATCCCCGTCGTCGATGCGACGCGCCCTTATGGCGTCATCCAATTCGACGAACCATCTCAAGAGGGAGTCTTCTTCGACCCCCTATACTTTGA